TTGGGGTTATATAAGGATGACCCTAAACCCAAGCTACTATTTTATATTGGGGTTATCTAGTGATGATGGAAAAGAAAATGGAAGCTGCTATTGAGGGTTTAGGGTTTAGGAATGCCAGTTTGAGAGGCTGGGAACAACATGCGCCGAATAGCTGATGAGTGCAATGCGAAGGCGCCATGCAGCTTGAGTGCCGAATTAGTGGGTTTCCCCGCATCCTTGCCTGTGCCCACAAAGAATTAGCTGCAGCTGCACCAAATGCGTTTGTAGAGGAAGCCAACGAATTAGTACATTGCTGTAACCAACCCCGAGACTTTCAACAAGAGACAGCGGGCTCAACTTTGTGGATTGCGCTTGTAAAGACACGATACAGTGAATGGAGGCAGTCTTGCACCACCCTTCATCCGCAGTGGCTTCAGTATCCAAAGTGCTGTCATGTGGAGAAATGCTGCAGACAGGTTCGCCTGCGGGGCATTGGCAGCGGCTTTCTGGAAGGTTCTGATGGAACGGAGGCCAAGTTGGATCCCTCAAATACTCCAGTCCCTCAGCCTTTGTAAACAAATTCAGTACTTTCAGCCGTTGTAAGCAAAATCAGTAATTGCCAGTCTGAGTGGCGGTGCTTGCCCGCTTCGACGTTCTGCGAGCAGCCGATAGCATAGCGACCGACAGCGTGGCGCAGTCACGATCGAGACCTAAAATACCAAGAGAAACCAGAATATACGATAATATACAAGATACTACTCTGATATACCATAATATGGGAACTCTCAGAAAGGTAACCCTAATTGCGGGAAACCCCCATTATGCTCATTACCTATGGCAGGCCAACATGCCCCTGCAGCTCAACGTGAGCTGCACGGAGTATTCCGACTACGCCGGAAACCTCAGCATAGATTGCTGGAGGGTCCATGTAGGAAGGGGGTTTAGAGCCTAGGGCTCAAGGTTTAGGGTCTAGGGTCGGTATATGGTATATACTGAGGGCCCGAAGGGTCAAGGGCTAGTGGAGACTGGAGAACTTAGGGCCCAAAAAGCTAGAAATGGTATGCATGCGTGTATGCAATTATGTCTGTATATATGTATGTAGGCGTGTATGTATGTATGAGTGTACGTGCGTATGTTGGCCACGCAGGAAAAATTCAGGTCGAAAACCAAAATTGAATAGTTGCACCCCTGGCGGGTTGTTATAGTTTTGTAGGTAGCCCAGTACATGGGACTGAAGGGAGCGTCTAGCTCTATAAATTACCTTAGAATTTGCACAGAGGATCTGAACCCGCAGTGAAGAGTGCTAAGCAGGGCATCAGCATCTTGGGATCATCTGGGTTGCTGTTAAGGAACTTAAATCAAGTTACCATAACGAGCATACATAGTAAATAATAGGGTTTCCCCAATATAGTAACTTAATTTAAGTTCGTTAACAGCAACCCAGTCATAAGCAGGCAGGCTATTGGCTCTTTGGCTCTTCAGGGTTCGATATTGGAGTCTGCTAGACTGAAGATGCACAAAAAGCACCCTCTGCAGGTGAAGGAACAGATACCGCTGCGGAGTGAGCATCCCCGTCGCAAGGACTTTACTTAGGACTTTTGAACCCAAGACATTGCATCAAGCTTCATAAATACTCCCAAATCTCCAGAACGTCCTAGAAATGCTTATCAATCGTTAGAAGTCCCTCATAATTACATTCATGTGCATTCAGGAAAGTTTTTGAAAGGCCCTCCAATGCTTGCAAATGAAGTATTCGACCCCTTTTACAAAACGTAGAAACAGTCGTGAATGCTCTCAAGCTAACATTGTTTCCCCTTGCGCATTATAACTCAGGTGGCTGCCGTTGATCAGGCATTCGGCTCAGCTGCTAGGAGGGCTAGGATTTTCAATTCAACGAAAGGCAGAACGGAGCACTACCAAGCTTGCGGCAAAAATAAGACTTGGTAGTTTCCCAAAATAGGGGGACCCCAATATAGACCCAAAATACTACAATCCTTATTATTGGGACCCCCAAAATTGTACCCCTGATTTCGGGAAACCCCCATGTAGCATGGTTAAGTTAAGCGAGAAACTGGGGAAAATATGATGAACTCATTCGACCCCACACCAGATGGTGATCTGTAGGGGTCGTGACTCTTGAGCAGACTTGGCATGAAGTACTGTAGGGACATGTACGGTTTGCAGGAGTATTAGGATACTCGTTTTTTTTTTTTTACGGATGGTAGAGGGATTTATGAGAATGTTTGGCGAGTGTAACCCTGGGCTTGGAGAGACGGTTTGCAAACATGAGTGTATATGGGCGCGAATAGTCCAAATCATACAATGGCTTCTAGGATTGTAATTAGTGGGTTTAGGGTTAGACTGGTTAAGCCAGCAGGCATCGGTAGAAAGAAACTTCGAGGCCATATTCATATTTGTATATTTCTGAAAGGTTACACTGATTCTTAACCTTGACTTCTCTTATCGGTTTGACTATCTGTACTGCTCGACTGAATGGGGGCAAGTATCGCAGTGGCCAGCGATGATCAAAAGCCTCTGGCGGACGGTGTTTGCCCAGTTTCAGCATTGTCAGAGCCCCCATCCGAGCAGGAGGTAACAGTGTGCATTTTCGTATTGATACTCATGGTTAAAATGCCAAGCACTTTTTTGGCTGCATCCACAAAAGCATCCTTGTTCTACAGCAACACCCCTAGAAAATGCTTCTAGAAAACCTGTGGCCTCTAGAAAATTTTCTGTTAAACTGCCACAGGCCACTGGGAGGTCCTTAGGCAACCCCTATGATGTGGCTTTGGTGTGTGCACCCCTTCCATGTTGCCACAGCTGCTTTCTTGAGGTTGCAACTTTGCTGAGAGATCTGTACAAGCACTACAGGCACCTTGGCGTCCAAGTTCAAGCTGGTCGTAGATGATGGCTGTTGGCATGAAGATTTTCTTGGTTTCCTGCGATGTGGCGCAGGGAGTAGCAAGTGCACAGAGACGCACGGACCATTGTGCTCTAGAGTAAGTTCAGCTATTTGGCCAACGCATTTCAGCTGAACCTTGAACTGCGAATAAGTCTCACTGGCATGCTTCAGTGAACCATGAAAGCACAGACCTAAAATGCGGCAGAAACAAGCACAGCACCCTGAACCTCGCTTTCCAGATTGAAGAAAGCCCTGCATGCACTTTAAAGTCCCAAGAGGGTCGAGTAATCTTAAGCACCGCAAAGCCTGTATCAGGCGGTACGCCCGATCCAAGGGAATGGAGCCGCCAGATGTAGGGCTCTCACTTGCATGGCATCGCCAAGCAGGGATGTCTCAATTTTTTGGGGCTATGTAGGAATACAGCGCTTGGTTTAGGGAGTGAAAGGGTTTTGTGCGTACGGTTTTTTCGAAGCAAAGTAATCATTGCCAGGGGTGTATGGGGAGGATATGGAGAAGTGTAGTGCGGCTTTCTCTTCGAGAATGACAGTGGGAATTTTTGGGAAGCTGAGTGCTTACTTTCTGAGAGCTCTCTATCGGAGTCTTGCACACGATGAGGCATGCTCTCGAACAGAGATTCTGGGCTTACAGAACCCTAAGCAAGGCATCAGGAAGAACTGGACAGACATTGTTTAGGGCTGCTTGGCACTTCTGAGGTTTGAGAGTTGACAGCAACTTTCATGCTGAGCAGTCAGAGGCTGCATGATTGAAGGCTTTTGATTGGTACATTGGGGTTGTGTAGTGTGCCTCTGGGCTGGTTAAAGTTGATAGCTCAGGACTTCTCCAAGGCCTGGATGCAAAAAGTGGTTTCAGCATACAAAAGCACATATTTCCTTCACGAACCCAGGTATGCAATGCTACCACGTTCATCACATGCCTACTGGTTAAGGTGTTGCGGATTCTGCAGGATTTTGGTCCATCAGCAGCAGGTTTGTCAAACATATCGCTCAGCTGCAAGGTGAGATTGAATGTAGAAGAAGTTCGACGTGATGACCTGCGCCTTGACCAGCTGCAAGCTAAGGCCGACAACTGTTACCCCCAATAATGGAGAATCAAATGGAAAAGAAAATGGAAAATGAAATGGAAACCCTAGGTCCCTTTAAAGGGGTATATAGGGATATATAGGGAGATAATCCCCAATAATGGAGAATCAAATGGAAAAGAAAATGGAAAATGAAATGGAAACTGGGATATTATAGGACTAGCTGTGGTTACAGTCTTTCAGTAGTTATCACACAGTAGTTGGATTGTGAGTTTGCGAAGCAAGGGTGCGTTTCAACTTTCCCCAATAGCACCTTGTACCGTAGGATATGCTTTTGCGTACGCGCTGTGGTAGGGGTCAATAGCTCTCTTATGTTAGCCAACTGTCTTCAGCACACATCCGGACAGGCCGTTAAGACGCCAGCCGAGCCCACACCTCAGCGTTTGCAAGAAGTCTTGCTGATATTGAGATTGTTGCTCGTGTGGTTGCTGCAGTGATGCACCCTGATGGGTGGCCGTTGACTAGACCGAATCTCTGTTAAATCCTTGCAAATCCTTGCAACAAGGATGCTTCTATACCTATACCTCCCGTGCACAGTTGATTCACCAGGCGGGAACGAGATCGAGAATTGCGCATGGAGCGCCGAGAGCGCGAGCGCGAGAACGATCGCAAGAAGCTCGGCACAGGCCGGTGTAAATAGCTAGAGAACAGAACAAAGCCTGCGGCACACTGTCATCCATGCCATGGATACGACTGATAGAGATATGGGACAAGATGATGGCATGTCGATGTTGATGAATTCGCATCCCGCGGGCCTTGCCCAGCGTCGGACAGGGATTGGCTGAATGAGCATCAGGGGCTTAGTCAGGTTAAGGTGGAGGCTTCTCAAGATCTGGGTGCCTCATACTACCACAAGAAAGTCACGACAGGTATCTATTAACACCCCCCACCCACTGAAAAAGTCTCCAAACATCTCTGGGCTCTTATCACAAGTATACTATCTAATTCCATATAAAGCAGGGTTTCACTGAGCAGGAGTCTTTGCAAAAGACATCGGAGAATCCCGAGACGTTCTGAGCCATGGTCTCCTCCTCGCAGCTGCTAGTTTATGGTGCTCTAGCAGCTGTACCCATTGCCTTCATTGCCGCGCGCTGGACGCAGTGGCAAGATGTTGAGATAACTATAGAGGATTTGGCCGACAAGCTCTTCGAGACCTTGCTTACTGACGCAGTGTCCTTTGCGCTTCCTGCTGCCTATGCACGCTTCGCTCTGCCTTGCCCTTGGACAAAGCCAGAACCATGGCCCCTGAAAATTCTCACAGCTGGTGGGCTGGGCGTGATAGCGCTGATAAACCTAGCAGCTGCGCGCCGTGCCTCCGTTGAAGGCACCTCACGTGGGGTCGCAGATTTTGGAGGCCTTCTGGTAGCGCATGTTGCATCGTATTGCATTGTACCTCTTTTGGAGCGGGACTGGCAGCCTTTGATCTCCCTGGGCTTTCTGGTGATGGTTTTGCTGGCGGGGTTGCAGAGGGAAATGCCGCTGGAGACGGCGCAGGTGCTGACAGCTTTCCTCTTTTGCTATCTTGCCCGTAGCCGCCTCAAATTTCGCTGGCATCTAGCACTGGCTATGTCTGCTGGTGGGGGCGTGGCGGTCCCCTACTTAATTCAGGTCCTCAACTGGCTGTTACCCCTTCGTGAAATGGTCTCAGTATATCATACCATCAAAGACCTGCTCGGTACTCGTCAGTTCGAGGAAGAGGTTTGCGAAATCCTGATAGTCACGGGATATGTTCAAATGTCCTTGGGCTACGTGGGCATTTGGTACATGCGCCGTGGACAAGCGCGCACAAACTCCCTCCTTGATGTAGCTGATGGAAAGTTGGACGCATGGGGTTTCGTTCAACGCGTGGGCTTGTACATGCTGGTGGTAGCAGCTCCTTACATGATGCAACGGACCATTATGGAGACCGCAAACGCTTTGGCGTTCTATGCCTTCCTCAGCAAGGTTGACCAACATGTTCGAGTGGATAGCTTCTTTTCGGCAGGAGAGTCTCCACACAACCGCTTAGAGGTTGTGCTTGACTCTGAGCACACAGTCGATGCCTATGCAGAGTCAGTGATTGAGCTGATGACCGACTGCTATGCCATTTTGGAGAGGAAGCTTTTTGGGCTTCCAAACCTCCTTCTGATGTCAGATACGCTGCTCAGCCAGCCAGCACTGATGATGGCAGTTCTTCCAGCGAGTGTGGTTCTGGATTTCAGTAGGGCGCGGATCATGTCGTTTCTTACTTCAAGGGTGGAGCAACTAACCAAATACCTGCGTAAGCGACTCTCCATGAGGAAGAAGATTGAGGAGCATGACGTTAGGCACGCGGAGACCATCAGCCGCACAGGTGCAGCTCCTGTGGTGGCCAGTCGCTGGGAGGATCTTGCGGGAGAGATTTTCCAGCTGACTGCTTGGAGGAAGTGCTTAGTATCCTTTCGGACGTATTTGAATTGGATCTACTACACCAACATTGTGGGGGTGGGAATTGAATGTGCTTTGGCGCGGATGATGGAGCTGGGCTCAATCACGGCGGCAGACCTTGGGGTCTATGCGCAGGTTGGGCTTTACTAGGGTTACAGTATATTGGAGTTATATTTGGATGATGGAAAAGAAAATGGAAACTACAATGGTCTTCAGGTTTTTTTGGGATAATGGAAAAGAAAATGGAAACTATTACAAGAGGGGGTTATATAGGGCTCTCAAAGTTGTATCATAAGGCTCTTAGATTAGAAGCGAATCTTATACTCCCCAGGTCATCGAGGATTCCATTGACTTCCTCCTGACGCGACACAGGGAGGCGGGGACACGTGCGAAGCAGGTTTAGGGTTTATAGGGTTTAGGGCATGGCGTAGAGAAAGGATGACTTCAACCAGCCTCTTCCCAGTTCCTCATAGTACGGTAGTTCCCGTAAATAGGGTGACCCCAATACAGGCATTCCTTCTTGCTGGGACCCCCAAAATGGTACCCCTAATTTTGGATAACCCGCATATCTACTACCAGCATGAGGCTTTTCATGGCTTGTAATTCATCGCCATTGTGGAGTCCCCGAAAAAATGTGGAACATTGAGCTGTAAAACGACTTGTGGAAGGACACCCGCCTGGCTCAGATGATCACCAACCAGGACTCATTGGTACTTTGTGGGAGTTGCCTGGAGGGAAGGTCGGGGGTTCTACTGTAAGATAGCAAAACATGTAGGGATAGCTGGGTTGGATGCTTGCAGGAGTCAAAAGTTTGCAAACCAAGAGGTAGGAAGTCCCCCAACTCGCAAAGTAGGCTTTTTTGATGACGCGGGAGAGGCCAACAAGTAAGGGTGCCTTTTCTTGCAAGTCCACATCACAAGGATTTGTGCATTGTATTTTGGAGCTTGTATGGGAGCCCCAGAATTTCGACATTGCCCAGGTGAGCACTCCTGCCTGCTGCTATTGCAATCACTACAGCTGCGCCGACCCTTCCTATTGTCACCACGAGAATTTTCAACGACAGGGGTCCAGCCCCTAATTTGGGTTGCTGTTACGGAACATTAGTTTAAGTTACTGTCCACCCTATAATAGAGAATCAAATTGGACATGGAAAATGAAATGGAAACCGGCGGAATATAGGGATTTAAGGAACTTAATTTAGGTTACTGTAATGGGGGAAACTTATTAATTACTACTTATACTCAAATTAGATTGAAATAAATCTCTTTAACAGCAACCGGATCCTTCCTGAGGATAGGGTGGCTGAGCTCAGCAGCCGACTGGCAGCATTCCATCAAAGGCCCGGACCCACAGCTTGAAGAAAGCCTTACTTGTAGGGTCAGGGGGACTTAGTAATACCGGAAAAGGTGGAAACTAGTACATTGGTTAGAGTTTAGGGTCAAGGGGACCTAGTAAGTGGGTTAAGAATGGGNNATAGGGGTTATTAACCTACTTACTTGGCCCCCTGATTGGGTGAGTACAGGAATTAATAAACACACAATCTCATGACAAGGAGCCCACGAAAGCTGCATGGTGATAGGGATCCAGAACAAGGAAATAGCCGCTAGACTAACAGGTTAGTGCTATGATTCCTGAATACAAGCTTTTAAAAGCTGGGAAAATGGGTTCATGAAGCTTTCAATCTTTTGAAATCCTTGTGTCGTGCATTAATTTCGTGATCGCTTACTCAATAAGTCTCTCTCACTTGATCTACGCGCGCACTTAATTACTTAACACACGGCACGACATGGATGCCGCGGTTGGACTGGNNTAAGACTCAGCCCCAGATCAACGGTTCCTGTCGTGTGCTCGTAAGCTCATAAATTCATTCGCGAGCTCATGAGTTCATTTGGCTTACTTCGTTCACTCCTTTCGCTTCATAAAAGTAAGGGGAGTGAATGAAAGAAGGGAAATGCAGGGGTGAGCAAAGGAACGAAACCTTCCACCCACGACATTTGAATTAGATGAAAAATTCGTGAAACCCTTTGCAGATCTGTTATTTCTTTAACCTTATTCTTCTATTGGCTTTAACTTCTTATCTTTCTATAACCCAATCGGCTGGACCTCTCATGTTCAAGGTCCCTTGAAGTGGGTTCCTCAAGCACGTACACGTACTGACCAGCTACTCATGATACGATTGCTCCCACACAAAAGGGTGTAGGGTTTCCCCGGGACTACTTTCCAGCTGGTCCCTGAGGCTGCAGCAATCCGATGGATCCTCTGTCGATGGCTTCTGCGCGCTGCAATCAGACTCAGGCGGTGTCAGGGAACAAACATTGTTGCTCAAGCTGTTGTGCATGAGAGGCCTAGGCCTGTAGGAAGTGGAGGGAGCATCCGGATCCCTCCTGTAGTAAAAATGGGACTCTGCCCAGACAGGTTTACTGGAGATTCCATGCCTGAACACTCAAAAGTTTCAACTCTTCTTGCAACCGGAAACTAAACCCTAAACCCCCACGCCCAATCCCGAAACTACATCCCTTGAAATGGGGGTGCCTCGAAGCCTGAAGGGACCTGTATGCTTCCTTGTACTCTTCATGTATCCCTTCAGTTGTAAAGGGTCTTTTGGTTAGCTAGGAATGACGGAATGGATCCTTATAGTAGTCCCTATATAGCCCCCTATGGAACATAAAATGGGAAATTAGATGGAATGGATCCCTAAGTAGTCCCTATATACCCCATTATCGTAGTTTCCACTTTCTTTTCCGCTCCTTCATTCCCAGCTAGCCAAAGGTAACCTTGAAATTTATGTACCCCCAAATTCCATTTCATGTTCCATTTGATTCTCCATTATTGGGGTAATGTACCCCTAATATACTATCCGCCAGCTCAAGGGCGCCTTGATTTCGAAGCATCCCTGAGCCAGGTGCCTTGGCTTTCAGCAATCTGACCTATCACCGGAACGGCACGGCCAGAGTCAACTTGCAGCTGGAGTTGAAGCCAGGCCGGAAAATCTAACAACTGGGCTGATAGCAAGGAACTTTAACTTAAAGAATAAGGTCATAAGGAAGTTCATGCTGTCATGTTCCTTAAGTTGACTGACATCATTGCAGAAAGAAGTCTTGGTCATTTTTCGCCTTAAAGAATTAACTGGTGAACCTCATGTATTCTGCCCATTCTTCAAAGAAATATTTCGGGGAAACCGCCAGGCCATGTATATGCGGTGACCGGTCCTAATGGCGCTGGTACCATGGCAGAAGACCGCGGCTGACGGATGAAATCTTGCATCACGGGCGCTAGTGTAGGTGCGCAATACAGTTACAGTTGGTGGTGCCCTTCCCACATCGCTTTTGCAGGGGCTCCAAAAGTAGAAGTCCTAGACTATACTCGGGGAGGCAGAACTTAATGAACTGAGCGCTCGGCTATTCCTGCTTGACAGTATTGCCTCGGCATAAACGCACTTTACTCCCCGATATTTCCAAAAATAGTGTGTCCCCCTTATATTACCCAGAGTACTCGTGACGAGGACCCCAAAAAAGGACCCCCAGTCTTTTGAAGACCCCATATGACTCCAAGAATCCCCATCTTGCCGAGGCAAGAGCACCTTGTCCCTTGGCAAAGTTGATATGGAGCCACCTGCAAGCTTTGTTAAAAGATCTCCCCCAATATTACATTCATCCTGCTATAGCATATTACCAGGAAGGAAGCTCCTGGTTCTTCTGTTCCCAAAAAGCGGTTCCCGATGTCGACTGCAGTGCTCTCTTACTTCAAAGTCCAGGTTTGCCGTGCTCTCCTCCTGCGCGCATCGGATGCCGCTAGCAAATGGACTGATGGTGGAGGGCAGCATGGCTCCTCGTTCTGAATATCCGAAAGGTTGTGCTCGTTGTTGATCCTGTCATTTCAGTCGAAAACGTACGCAGACAAGTATACAAGCCTTGAGAAGGCCTGTCGCCGAACTCCTGCTAGGTTCAACATAAACCTAAAACAGTTGTGAGAATTCTCTTTCTGACTGATGGCCTTACAACTTTTGGTTTTGATGTCAAAGTCAGCCGCTGAACCAAGCCTTTCAATCTTCAAAAAAGATAATGCATGAGTCGTCAGAACAGAAGGCCATGCCTGCTGGCGAGCTTGCAGAAGTGCCGCAAAGGCTGGTGCCTGCGGTGTGATGTCTGGTAGTGTCACCATCTCATGTTTCCGAGAATGCAGAATGGAATAGACTGTGTGTTCATGCTAGCAGACAAAACTGCTTTGTGCTCGCAACACCATGGTCTCAGGCCTTACCACCCTTTCTACGTGCAGCCCCTCGCCTGGCTTCTGAACCGAGCCGACATCAAGGTGCTCCACGATGGTCCAACTGGCCAATTACTGGAGGCTTAAGCAAAAAAAAAGCCAGTCAGAACACTTTAAACCTAAACTCCATGTATTGTGTATCTATGCCCCAAAAATATATGTCGATCATAGCACGTTGCACTTGAAGGTCCTTAGATCTGCGTACTGGACTGTTACCTGGGGGTCGAGGGCACTTGGTACGCTTCGTGCCTATACTTATAACCCGAAAAACCCATGTGTAATAAGACATCATCCCCAATATCAACCTGCTTACAAAGCTTAGAAACTCAACCTGACCCCTAGCCTACTACTACTAACTACGTGCCCCTGACCCTGCAATTAGGTACTTCCAGCTGATGAACTCGGCCGCCTTGAGGCGCACGTGGCCCTCGGCCTGCATCATGGAAATGCACCATTTGGGTCTTTTGGGCTAATATAGGGATAATGGACAAGAAAATGGAAACTACTATTAAATGTTGTGGCTTTATAGGGATAATGGAAAAGAAAGTGGAAACGATTAAGTGGATTCTAAGAGGTCCTCACCATTAGGTGGTCGCTTTCAACTTAGCTGCCCCTGAATTCTTTCGTCTCGACATATCTTGAATTGGCTACCCAAAGCCTGCACCTAAGCAGGCTTCCCCTTTTACACAAGCAACCGGCCTCTGAGGTACAGATCTCAGCAAAACTGGGCTTCAAGTCTGCCCAGGCCCTTCAGGGCTTGGATTTGGACATTGTTGATGGACGTCCCGTGCACAACCCTAGGTTGCCAGAAGCCTGAAACATGTTTTGGTAGCTTAGGAGCCGCTGTGTTTCGGCTTTAGGGGTTAAGAATTAAGCTGAGAAAAAGCAGAGAAACACGGCCAGACCAAGAAGTGGCGCCGAAAGGCAGCCAAGAGAACATGGCGCCGAAAGGCAGCCAACTCCTATAATTCCCTCATCTTCCCACTATTTTCCTACGATCTCAGGGGCAGACGAGGTCTAGTCGCAGCAACTATCTCTAAGAACAGCAGCCGTAAAAAAGGTACATTAAGGGGTAATTATCTTATCCTGATCTGATGCTGCGCAAGATTTTTAGTAAGAGTTATTCCCTCACGAAAGGTTTCATCTTCCTTGCTTCAAGCCCACTGACTACTACAAAGGGCTATATGTGGCCAGATGTCCCCTATCACCTTAGACCTGCGAAAGCTCCTGCTTGGGGTTTAGGGTTCAGTGGTACTTCCGACCCTGCATAAAACCTAGGAGGCCTGAACCTTAAACCCCCCAACCTAAAGCTCTGAACCCTACCTCCCGCCTGGCCGACCCTGTATCCTGACATAGCAGCTAGGGGATCCACCTCAACATAAATAGTACTTTCCCAAAATGCGGGGACCCCAAAATAGACCTCAACATATTATAGTCATAGTCCTTATGATTATGACCCAAGAAAGGCACTCCTAACTTTAGGAGGCACCCAGATCTTGCTACAGAGGACTCCGGAGGAGAGGGCCTGACGAGCCACGAGCTGAGGCTGGAGTCCATGGAAGCTTGGCTGGCATTGCTGCGTTGCTATTCAGGAACTTGTTTGGGTTACCATATATCGTAAAGTAGTAGGGTTTCCTTACTGTCGTAGCTCAAGATAAGTTCCTTAGCAGAAATCCAGATTGAAGTAGTAGGTGGAGGGTTGAAGTTGTCATGGTTTTGGAATTCAGCTAGCTCTTCAGGCCTTCAGATTCAGGGAGAGGGGCCTAGGGGATGTTTATGGGATTTGTAGGGGTTCAGGGACCGGCGCGAGGGATCCAGCCATGAGCACTTTTGGGGAGTAGGTTGAGGAGACCCTCCCACCTTCTGCAATAGTACTAGCGTAAGGACTATAAGAGGACCCTGATAAAATCACGATTCTTCCTTATAGTCACTGTATTTGTGTGGGGGGTCCACCTACCGCATTTCCTATACTGTGAACCAGGCACTTTTGCATAACATGCCATTGCACTTCTGATGCCACCCATGGCCCGGCAAACAGTCTTCTACTCGCCAGTCGCTAGCAGCTTGAGTTGATGGCCTACTCGCGAAAGTTATACGAACCTGGCGGATCAGCGCACGCATCAGATCACCCCTGTCAGCAGACATGATTAGCCAGATCCGCGGATCAGATCCAGGGGTGGCCACGGATCACATCAGGGGGAGGCACGAATCCAATCAGCACAAGATCAAGCAGGAAGCCAGATCGGAGCATGGTACATGGGGACACGGTGGATTGGGGTTTAGGCAGGGTGTAGGGTCTTGGGTTTAGGGTTTCAGGTTTATGGTTTTAAAGAGGTGTTTAGGTTTTGGGTCCAGGGCTTTAGGGTCTATGGTCCGGGGTTGAGGGTTTAGGGTTTTAGGCTGAGGTCCTGGAGTCTAGGGTTGGGGGTTTTGGTCCAGGGCTATATGGGTTGGGGGTGTAGGTTTTTGGCCTGTAGGCTCCAGAATTTGAGGTTTATATGACCTGGGGTTTAGGTCTGAGGGGTATGGACAAGGCTGTACCCACGTGGGTACGAGGCCTGGGTGACTTTGGAATTTGAGCGCTAAAGGTTTAGGTTTGGGGTTTTAGGGTTTTGGACTTTCGGCTCAGGGTCCAGGCTTGGGGTTTTTGGTCTAGGGGTTCAGGGTTGTATTGGCTGTAGGCACTGTAGGCTTCGGGGTTTGGGACGTTGTGGATTTATGGTCTAGGGTTGGGGGTTTAGTTTTTTGGCTTGTAGGCTTCAGAACTGATCCGCTGAGGGACCCCCTGCGATGCCATTCGCGATTCCCCCGCCCTCGATCCGATTCAGAAAGCCCTACCCCAAACCCCTAAACCCTAAACCCTAACCCTGAGCCCTACACAAAGGACTGGTACAGCGAGCTCTCTGGCGGCCAGCGGAGCAAAGCCGAGCTCATGCGCCAGATCTTTTTGAAACGCCGCTGTCCACAGGACTACTGGGATTGCAGGGTTTGCAGGGTTTCGAGCTGCTAGGGATCTAGGAGCTCACGGCTGAGTGTTTAGGAAATTGCGAGGAGTCGGGCTTTGGATTGTAGGGTTTAGGGTTGTGCAGATGGGCTGTGCTGGTTCAGAGGGTGTCCCACAGGGTGCGGTGTGAACGGGGACCTTTTTTTTGCACGGGCTTCAGTGCTCCTACAATATTGGGGGTATTTTTAGTTGTCACTGGGATGTTGGTAAGGCATGGCATGGAGCTAGGTCATTTACGCTGTTTAAAGGGAGTACACCTGGAACCCCCAAACAGGGAACCTAAGAACGCACTAGGAATATAAGGACCCTGGTAGGTATATTCCTATTATATTCCCATTATATACTAGGAGTTTAAGAGGAACTTAAGGACCCTGGTAGGCATATTCCTATTTATATTCCCGCTATATTCTTGGGGTTTCCTGTTTGAGATCCATTAATGTCCCTTTGCTGTTGATTGAACCCTATGGGCCTTGGCTTGCTTCACTCCCTTGGAGTTGTTGCAGCCTCCCCTTTCCTGGCCTACTTGGAGGTCCATTGCACTTATAACCTACTTACTAACTGTAGTTACAACCCAATTATATCTTGGGTAACTGTAGTTATGGGACTTATATCTAGGTTATAACTACAGTTACTAAGTAGGTTGTAAGTACAATGGACCTCCAAGCTTGGTTAGCTAGGCACGAAGGAAAGGATCCTTATAGTAGTCCTTATATAGCCCCATTTTAATGGAGAATCATTTGGAAAATGGAAAATGAAATGGAAACTGTGGGTATATGGATCCCTATAGTAGTCCTTTTATAACCCATTGTAGTAATTTCCATTTTCTTTTCCACTCCGTCGTTCCCAGCTAACCAAAGGTAAGTTTCTCACACTGACAGGTTGTCTTGATCGACGAGGCCCTGGCACCGTTGGATCCCGTCTCCAAGCTGCTGGTACAGCAGCAGTTGAAGGACCATGTAAGCTATGTCTAAACTCCATAAAGAAGTGTTATCTAGAGGGTTATAGAGGGGAGCATGCTGGGGTTTTTTAAGGGTACTAGGAGTTCAGACTACGGCTCATGTCTCTGTGGCCAAAAATCCTTGTGGATTTTGCCGTAGGTGGCGCATGGTGTTCAACAAATAGAATTTTGCCAGCTGCCACAGCTAGCTGCTACAGGCTGCAAAACCAGTGTAAGCCTGACCGTGTCACCACATCCTTGAGTCATTCTTAGCGTGGATGACCGATTTCCCAGATGCCAGGACTTCTGCGCCGAGTCACTTGTACTTGTGATCTATCACACAGGCTGTGGGGGTGGGTCGCGTCGCACCAGCACATTTCTTTTGATGACCTGTTGCCAGGGGATGGAGTTCACTGTGTGAACAGCAGCGGCTTCTTCGATGACAATCTGCAAATATCGGATGGTCACGCCAAGCTGGTGGGACTCTGTTGATACTGACTCCGCGAGCACGCATTAGAGCCTTACCGTGGCACAGGCAGCCAAGGCGGGCTGGAGGGCTTAGTGGCAGCAAGACGACATCGACACCCAGGTAGACTTGCCACCGGGACAACTGCAGATGGCCTGCAAATTGGTCTCGCTGACTTGCTGCACCCCTGCTTGAACAAGCGCCTCACGGATGTTGTTGGAACTACACATCGCAAGAAACATCTACTGACAAGCCTGTCTCAGAAGCCTGTCTGGCGAGCTCGGGACAAAGAGAACGCAGCCGTTAAGAGCAAAAAATGTTCAGCCTGCGAACAGTTGAACAGGCACAAGCTTGTTGCTGCAAACTCCAACTGAAGGTTACTACAGAGCATGAGTAGTTCTTAGAGAGCTGCTCAGCTGAATGCAGAAACCACCCGATAGGTGAGCGCATCACCATTGATCTCGAAAATGCGCTTGCATCTCAGAGAAGGAACCTGCAGAATTAAGTCCTTTCGCGCCATAGCCAGTTCAAGTCAAAGGATGGCTGAGTCCTCAAAAGGCTGTGTTGTGTCACTGATCCCTCGCAATCTTCGGGACACCGATTCCCTGACATCTTCTCGACCCTGCTATGATTACCACGTATTGTTATCATATCTAGAATGACAATAACTAGCATTATTATTTGTAGGGGTGGTGGTGGTCTTATGTTTGTTGACGTGACACCACTCAGGCTTGGCGGCCCAGCTCTGGCCTCAGGATACTGGCAGAAACAAGTATGAATGGGTAGTTCCGAAAGTTGAAGAATGAGCGTGCAATTGAATATGTGCATGTGTATATGTGAGTATACGTGTGTATTCACTATATGGGTGGTTATCAAAATTATGGTCCCTTTCTGGGTCCCTATTATAATACGGCCCCTAATATTTAGGGTACCCAAAAAAAGAGCATAATTTTGACAACCAGCCATATGGCTACGCAGATAGACAGCCATACGTCCGTCCATGCATACATACACACACACACACACACTCACACACAGACAGGCAGACAGACAGACAGACAGACATGCATATATACATAAACACCTCGTGTATAATTAGGGGCAAACATGACATGTCGATATCCTCTCAGGACCGGCCCATCCGAAAGCCTCCAAAAATGGACCGACCCCTTGGCGCCGGCGAAAGCGAAAGCAGAGTCCTCAGCAGAAGAAGCTGGACGGATGCGATCGCCGCCCTCGAGTATTGAACCCCCCCCACCTCACCATGTACAAAAAACCCAGAGGACGTCGAACATGTTGTGGTATTATGTTGGGGGCATTCATTATCGTCGCGTAGAGCATTCTGAAGGATTTGAATGGAGCTTTCGGTCAGCATTTCTACTTGATAGTGCCGCTGATCACAGATACACTTCCAAGCACTCTGTTTGAACGTTCCCTGACGAAGTTTCCATACCTCTGCCGCGGTAACCGCATGCCCTTAAGCATGATGAAGCGATCCATGGAAATGGGATTGCACATGTGACCACGTTTTCGGGGAGCTTGCATGCTGATATGCTTTACAGAATACACGCGCATAGACGCGCCTTTCTCACACGAAGGCGAACATGAAGAGCTGGACGACGACGAGTGGCGAGCTATGCCGGTTTACGAGCTTCAGCTGCCCCCTTCATACCATATTCTGCAATCCTATCCTGCCATACTACACAATACCATGCCATATTATGCTGTGATTAGTAGTAGCTGGCAGACCCACCCATCCTTGTACAGATTGTGAGCCAGGGCTGGGCCTCGTTTGCCTTCCGGCGCACCAGCCAAACACCCAGGAGAAGACGGGCTGGGTCAGGGCGGCAGTTTTCTTTTGGGGGGAGGGGCGCAGAGGAGCTAGAGGGTTTGGAGGGATTTTGGGCTGCTGCAATGGTGCTGATACGGCATGTTATGGTATATAGTATAGCTGAGTGGTACCCTGGGAGCATTGTCCATTTCCCCTCCTTATTGTTTGTTGTAAAGCATTCATGAATAATTGTGCAGACCGTCAAAGTACCACCTTTGTGTTTGGGCTTCCAGGGGACGCAAGAAGCTTGGCTTACAACGACCTTTCCTCAAATGTCAATTTATCTAGTAATCGTGCCAAATTGGTGTGCTTAAGATGTCAAGTCGCTTTAAAATGACCAGAAGAAGTTCTACATAGTCCCCCCCCCCCTATGAGACCCCATTCTCTACCAAAGTACCTAAAACGTTGACCCTGGGCTAAGATCCCAACTACAGCAGCGGGCCGACGTGCTGCGGCGCGATCAGGTGGGAAAAGAGCACTTGGGGAGGGATGCGGGGATTGGGGTGTAGCTTGGGTCATTCCTCCCACAATACCTCCCCTTAAGGTGGTTTAAGAAAGCGGTTTCTGCAAATCTTCTAGCCTATTGTGGCACTTGTTATTGTAAGGGGGAAGGACCTAATAAGGTGCAGGGTTGAGGGTGTTTGGGATGTTAGTGGCTAGCGAAGTAATTGCTAAAGGAACAGGCCTTTCAAAGTACAGTTCAGGCTTATGCAACATGACAATTTGTAGATGGTGCATACACGTAGCCAAGAGACAACACTGACCAGAAGCCTTGATAGAGTCTCAGGCATTTGTACACAGGACATCCCATGGACCACTGCAAGTGCCCTTAGGCATCTAGAGTGCTTTTCCATGTCGGAGGCGGTGCCTATTATGCTGCTCTAGCGTCAGCTGCTGCCCGTGAGGCAGAGCGCAAGGAGCTCAGAAACAGCTAGCAGCTTTGTTATTGTTCTGCCTTGTTTTCGGGAGACTGAATTTTGTTAGGAGGTATAGGAAGTTCCTAGCTGGAGAATTTCCCGCGTTACTCATGCTCTTACTAATGGAAACGGGCGGTTCCTAGGCCTGCAGTCCCAGCAGTCAGCAATGTCTAAGCGCTCTCAGGGTTTTAGTTCCCACGAGGTTTGCTACCACCCATACACTGACGATGTGTGTCCATGATTTCTCACAACCTGCACCTTCAGAATCTTCAAGCTCACTCGCAAAAGTTCCTGTAGCGCCAGTACAGAGTATGGATCCCCATAGCATGTAATCCGTCCGCATCCCGCATTAAAGTGCCTAAATTCTCTGTCGCATTCCTTCATCACCGACTCTAAACCCTGAACCGTAAACAATAAAAGTGCAGTGCGATGCGCGCGTGCCGAAACAACATGTCACATTCAATTTTTCTGTTCATTAAATCCCATGTTATTCCAGCTTCCGTATAATGTTCCATTGTCTTTTACCTATGATTCTTTTGGATAATCTCTGAACTCCCTACATCCTGAACCCCCGAACCTGAATAATATCAGATGATACTTCATAGATTTCAGGTGAGGAGCGTGAAAAGCAGAAGCTCGAAAAAGAAAAAAGGCGCCGCGAGAACGAGGACCTGGAACTCAGATCCGGAACTGCCTTACTAAGCATGTGTCGGGCAATGCAGCAGCAGGAGTCTGGGTGAATTCCAGTGCAGATATTTCAGCGTTTGCACAAGAGGATAAAGAAGCCCACTGACAAGTTCCCGCAATTGGGCTGTTCTTTCAAAGTCAATTTGCAAGGTCTTTTTCGACAGGTGTCCTCATGAAGCCACCCCTGAGATTTGAAGCAAACACTACTCCAGTGTCCTGAAGAAAGGAGAAAGCAGCGGCACAAGCCCGGAAACCTGGTCGAAATGCCGGGGCCAAAGCCAGTGGTGTGGGTAAGGCCCCTGCAATTCCTGCCATATCTCTGAAGTACTGGAAGCACCCAACCCAGACTATGAGTCATGAAGCTTTCGCCAAAATGGGAGTTTCCCAAAATCAGGTATCCCTTTTTGGGGGGTCACTGTAATAAGGAGTATCTTTTTGTCGGGTTATATTGGGGTGCCCTCTTTGGGGAAACTACCAAATGGATCCTGAACTTGCAGGGCTCAGGTGTAGGATGCGCTGATATGAATGATCAGTGGAGGAGAGGTGTCTAACTCCTACCTCTAATACCCATGATAGGGGCCTGGAAAATCAAAACGGCTGTTAAGGAATTCATGGTAAGTTTGCATAATATGGCTCGATAGATGTCTACAAGTAGTAAAAGTTTCAGGGCTTCCTGAACACGATAACTTCATCTACGCCACACCAACCCACTTTTAAGCCCTCACGCTGCATTGACACCCAGGCGCCAAGGGGCATGGGCCTGGTGATCCGATCTGCTGGCGATGCCGGAGACTTACGAGAGACGGGTTTGGAGTTTTGGTAGAGAATATTACTGCAAATTTTCTGCGATTATCATAATTAGTATGCTTATTGATTTCTTGTTGTTAATTCGATAACAACACTAATATTAGTGGGCCTAACAGGGGAATGGAGAAAACATTGGGTCGAGGGATGAAGCGGCCTGAAGATACCAATTATGAAGAAAGAACATGGAAGATGACATATACAGGTTCATCAGGTGTTTGCCGTGTATTTAGAAGGGGATAAGGGAATGCAGTAGCTGTCATAATTCCCCTTTCAAATCCAGACGCTCTTTTCCGCATTTGCGTTTTAGAGCTGAACTGCTTTTCGTAGGTTGTCTTGTTCGTCTTTTGCTGCGGGGGTCTTGGGTTCTCGGGGAAGTATCGCAAGCATGATGCCTGCAAGATGTATCCAGACTTTCAGCAGTTCGGAACATGTACAAGAAGTGCTCCGCTGTATGGGCTTCAAGAGGTCTTTTGACATCAGCCTGCGTGAGAAGTGGAATCTGACTCATCAGGAGCTTATCGCAACAGTGGAAAACCAAATGAACAAGCAAATGCGCGATGACATGGACACTAGCGATAAGGTTTTGGAGAAGGGTTTCAGGTTAACTTGTTGGTTGAGTGTAGGGCCTGACCGCAAGGAAAACAGAAGCCAGTCGCTGCTAAGCTGTAGGCTGTAGCGTTGTGGCATACACAGCTGCGCTTCAATATTGCGCAACGATAAAGCTGGCCGTGCAAAAGCCCTTTGAACATAATGAATCTCAGCCATTTCAAATGACAGGAACCAT